ATGCAATAATCTGACGCGCTGGGTTGCCAAAGCTAGCCATGCAGGAAGTTGAATGCATCCTTGCAAGGATAGTTTGTTTGTTGGCATTTACAAGGGTTCCAAAACACCGAAATGAGAGAATTGCCACTAAACTACCTGAGCTCATCGTAACATAGTCAGCTCAAATCCACAGCTAAATGCCCGCTCGAGCCGCGTTGGCCCCACAATATTGGCCGAAAGCACATGCTCTAGATCACTCAAGGGACGGTAGCTGTGATGGCTGTCAACCCCAACCTCAAAAGCAGCACATACCCGCTGCGTACGCAAGTCCCGGATAGATTCAAAAGCCTTTGACTTGTCAGTGCCAAGGGTCATTTGACCTTCCGACTTGCCATGGCAAATACCAATTCTTTCTAGCTCCTCCAGTGGAGAGGTTGGAATGAGGGTACCCTTCTTTCTCTAGTCTATTTTAGTCGGGGAACCCTCCCCCAAAAAAAAGGGGTGAGAGGTCGGGCACCAATCGCTGGGGGACCCAGAACTTTGCTTCAGGACCAGCTGGATCATTCCCTTAGATCCTTGCGGCCCGGCCGACTTCATCGCGCTTAGGCCCGGCATAGGTTTTTAGCTCTTGGGACAGCTGACAGTCCTTTAAATGAAAACCCCTGCGGGTCAATGGAATTAATCACGTTTTCCAACAAACCCAAAAGTGGGCCAGCAAAAAGAACAAATAAACCAAGACAAAAGGTTGTCTTAAATGGACACCAGGGATGAATACACTCTTGGCTGATGAGAGGGGGTGCTGCCCTTTTGTAGAGCTGAAACAGGCTACATGTCGGGGAAGTACCCGCAAAACTAAATCTGCTGGTTCTATTCAAATCCGTCAACATTAAACCATCCAAGCCCCTGTGACAATAATGAGCTCAAACACCTGCGATCGGGCTGTGCTACGGCAAACACACAGGTGTTTCTCAATTAAACATCATGGGTTAGGCAAGTTTTAGCCTTCCGTATGCCAAGGTGCCATTTTGGGTACCATTCTTTGAGCCACAGCCACATAAGGCTATTCGCTTTGGTTGCAACCAAGCTAAACATGAGTGAAACTTGCCGCAGATTGCGGCCGAGGCCTCCTATTCGCATGCAGCGCAAGTTTGCTTTTGGCAGCTTTGCATTGACACCGAATCCCCAAAGTCCCTACCAAATCCATAGGAAAGCGGTTCTTTCTTAATCATACAAAGTAGTCTTCCCAGGCTCGTTTTCGGCGTGGGAAAAGTTGGGCTGAAGGGGTTGCGGGGGGGCGCCTACGGCAAGCTTGCAGTTGCAAATCGCGCCACTGCACCGGTGCTCGGGGCAGGTGTGGGCTCCCTTGAATCAGGGGATCTGTTTTGGGGATTGTTTTCTGCAGGGCGTGCGCCTTGAATGCACTCCTACAAATTAACATGGAACCGAAAATGAGTGCCCAAAAGAAGGTTCCTCCAAGCCACCAACCAGGGGTTACCAAATCTAACTGGATCTTCCCGCTGGCGGCTGTAAAATTTCTGGCTTTGCTTCCTTTTCTAGGGGCGTCCCTAAGAGGCAGGACATCCCTGCCGGGATCCAGAAGGCCCAAAGAAAGCCGAGCTTTCTAAGACACCAAGTGGCACCCTGAGAGGCGTGCGAAACCAGGGATCGAAACGGGTCTAGAGGCATCGAAATCCCCAAAACCGCATTGCCCCATGCAGATTCTCCCAACCAGCCCGCGTGTAGAGAAAGGTCCATTGTCGCACGCCCCTTGCTGTACGTCATAGGGTGGGGATTACCAGCAAAATTCATTCAGGGTTTTGCTATTGTTCTTGTGGGCAAGACTGGCCACGGAAAGGGGTCCAAGAATTTGAGGAGGGATCCAACATGAAAGTCAGCTAGTCTTGCAGTTCTCAGCAGGACCACTGTTGATGTCAAATGGTGTCAAGGTTCTTGACCAGACTTCGCTGACTCCACCTTCAAATAGTTAAACTCCTTTCCGGTGACAAATGGCCATGGGTCAAAAGCCCATACCCCCAGTGAACATCCCAATCCCCACCAAAATTGCCTAAAATGGGTGGTAAATTCACCTACCCCAAAATGGGATCCCATTCTCTTTGACAACCACAACCAAATGAAGGAAACCCAAACGTGAGAAAAAGTTCCAACGGAAGTCTGGCAAAGGACTTTGGACCCGGGCAGGTAAAAGGACCAAGGACCCCCTCTTCGAAGCAAAGGGGGGTTCCTCCATGTCTCTTAGCAATCTTCTGCGGAAGGAATTGGGATACATTAAGATCATAACGAGGGGCCGGGAAGGAAGGCAAGCCAGGATTCACTGCAAGCTCTGCTTGAGGTAAAGGCGGGTGGACGTTAAAGGGCTTTTCCTGTACGACCAGTGGCTCATGTTGGGATGATCGTGCACCAACGTCAAACTTGTCATGGAGCAGTAAGCAGCTAAACTTTCTCGGCAAGACTATGAGATCGCTATTGAATGTTCTTCAATGGAAGATCTCCGAACATATTCGGGATACTCCAGGCGTTTCCGTTTGCAACAAGAAGCCATTTGTAAAAAAAGGGAAGCCCTACCCACAGCCTTCTGCTTGAACCCCTTGCATCTTCAGCTTTCCCGGACGGCAGCGCTCGGAAGGCCAATCCACTTTGAAATGCGGGGAGAGGTCTTAGCGTGATGGTTCTCTGCAGCCGAAAATACGCCATTGCGATATATTGCGATTGCTGTCCACGACATGGGCTTGCATATTTGGAAGGGGTGCCAAGCGATCTCGTCCAGTAGGGTGAGTCCGTGCGTCTTCTAGAAACTTAGCGCCCTTTTAGTCGTTTCTTACGGGAAATCCAAGGGAGTCTCCAGAAAATACGATGGCAACCCACTTTCCAGTCCGCGGCACCCCTCTCCAAGACGTGAACCGTCAACACGCCGCTTTAAGAACCGAGTCGTACGCCGTCTCGGGCGGAGGGCTGTGAATATTCGACAAACTTCTGTGCTTGGTGAAGGTGAGCACACTTCAATTTTACATAATCCATGAAAAAATATGTCTTACTCACTTGCCAAACCACAAAAAAAGAAACACTAATGAAGGGTTAACTTTTTCCGGTCATGGCTGAAACTGGACCCAAACAGCACCAAAAGGTGAAAAGGCCGATTGATTCCCGACAAGCGAGTATCTTATGGCCGGTCTTTTGTGGGTACATGAAAAAGCCCGCTTCTCGGGTTCCCCATGAAAAACACAAATCGGCATGGGCCATGTCGCAAGCACCCTTCCTGAGTCCGTACATGTATAAGAGCGATGCATTTCAATGGGTATACTGTTGACCCAGGATTGATACACCCGTCCCATTATTAGGGGGGTGTTCCCTCCAAAAGTGGTCTGAATGCCCACTACAAGGGGACAGCCCCCCATTAATCAACCAGGAGTTTACTAATCCGGGGAGATTAGTCGCAAGATTGTCGCAAGTTGGAGAATAGAGCCTTCGGGAGACCAGTTGGAAGATCCCATCTGCCAAGTTTACCTTCGAAATCTGAGGGCCAAACGCCGCTTCATCCAAGACATTCCGACGAAAACCTGGCTGCTTGCTTGCAGCCAGCTCCATGGAGCCTGTGCACTGGTCAACTGTCACCAGCTTCCATTTGCTTCCATTTGCTTAAGCCCCTGGCAAAAACAAAAAACAAAACACTATTTCTAGTAGTGATGGATTCCTTTTAAAGCCAGCAGGGGATACTATATATATATATATAATGGAAGCCAAAGAGCCCGGATGGGGCGAATCCTCGATGGGACACCCTTTGAAAATCTTTGCGCCGCCAGCGTATCAAATGGGTGTGGGTCAAACAAAGAAAACCCAACATGGGTGTGGGTCGAAAATAAAACCACAAAATGGACCCTTGGGAATGGACAAGTCTGGCGCTCACAAAATTTGCGCCACACCCAAAATAAAATCCTCGGCGTTGAAACGGCCGTGTTGGCCAGGAAGCCGTCTTGGCCAGTGGCTTTTGCCTAATCCAGAGCTGTGCCCGCTTTCTCTGCAGGGCGATGCCCAGCAGTGAAAGTGTGGGAAGTCATGCGGCGTCACAAACAGTTGCCTAGTCTTGAGGTTCCGCTGGGTAACTGTAGATGTTTGTCCCCCTTCATTTCGGCAAGTGCGGGGAACCATGTGCGATTCACAGGAAGTTTATATATATATATACATATCACAGTAGTAGAGATAGATATATTAAACAAATAATATATATATATATATGTATAGAGATGTTTGCTCCCACACCTGCATCGTGAACACTCCAAACACCTGCACCAGTCATGACCATTGACCTCCTGGGAGACGGTTTGGAGTGAGATCCACTACCGGCCTCTTTCCTTTGGGAAAAGAAAACAACATGTGGGATTGTCTCAAACTTCGTGGTTTCCTTCAATTTGGCTTCCCTTGACCCCAAAAAGGGAATTTGAGCCGCTGCTTGGGAGCCTAGCGTCACGGCGCGCATTATCTGCCTGGCGGATAAAATGTAAGCCTTAAAATGGTGAAGAGGACCCGCCAGCAAAGAGCTTGTAAGATTTGCCAGCTCAACTTGTCATAGGAGGGGCCCTCAAAAACGGGGAGCCGTTTGTCAAAGCTGTGCACAATCCTGGGCTTGCCTCACGTTGATAGATCCGCAGAGAGAGTGGGGGTGGTGGTCCCCTCCTTTTAATTTCTATTCCCCAAAGAGGAATGAAAACAGGCACGTGTCCTCCTTATGCAGTTCTGCTTAGGTGGAAAGGGGTGTCTTTTGTAGGTCCCCCCAATCGTTGCCATGGTTTTCCTGTTGTTTCCCCTTGAAAGCCACAAACAAAAGGCGCCTTCAAAAAAGACACACACACATATTAAAAGAAACCAAAAGGCCTACGCGCAAAGCTGAAAAAATCAGGTGCAACTCTTCAGGCAACTGTTTTTCACAACGCCGGTGGAGGGATTCCGAGCATTGAAAGTCACAAACCCCAGGTGAATTGCGGGGAGCAGGCTTTCCTTGTTCATTTGCAATATTCACGGAATCCCCTCCTTATAAACCCCTTTCTGGTCCGAAAGGGGGTCAACCTAATCCAACGGAGATGCAGCCGCAGCCGTCACAGCTGCAGCTGTCGCTTCCAAAACTCTCGAGACTCGCATCACTTGCGCTGGCTCGGGCGCTCGGTGAAAGTCAAGGCTGGCAACGACGATGTCACCTCGGACTGCGGTTCAACGCCTTCTCCGTGGTCCAACGCAATGTGGGTGGCTCAACCTGGTTTAGGAAGACTGTTTTAAAACAACGACTTTCCAGATTTGGGGGCGAGCCCATGCTTCCAGCAGGGTTTCTTGCCGCTAGGGTTGACCTCTCGGCGTTTCGCTACTTGACCCGGTCGCAAATGTCCGCGTCCTAGTGAAGCCATCTGCTTGCCGGAAGCCAAGTCACTTTTACAAGGGTGTAGTTTAACATGGTTCCTGCATAGAGTCGAAGTTTTCGTCCAACCCGCTTTTTGATCTTTTTGCAAATGTGATTTTTGCAATGATTCAGAAGCACCCAAGGCAATAAAACACAACCACACAAAAACAAATTGTAAGTTTCTCTAGTCCCACGCTACTCAGTAGGCAGAACAACACGTGCAACAAACCAATCAGCAACCGTCTATGATTCTACAAGCTCATTTGACCCATTCACATTGGCAGATTCGGTAGGTGGGCATTGCTGGCCAGTAGCAGCAGCGTTCCAGCCTGTGGCTGATAGCCTGTGACTGTGGACGGTTCACACGGGTCCGAGGCAATAAAACACGACGACTTGTGAATTCCCCCTCCCAAACTACTCAGTGGGCAAAACAAAACACGCCCAACAAACCAATCAGTGAATGTGTCATGGCGCAAAGGTTCAAGTGAGTGGTTCAACGAGGCTTGGAGAGAACCGGCGGGCACCTGGCCATCTATTCCAAGAGGTACCTGATCCGATCCAGCTTCTGGCCCCGTGGAAAACCGTGCACCAGTGTTTGATGTTGGGCCACGCGGCATTGAAGCGAAAAAGGTATTTTTCTTCGACATTCACAAACAACCAATAAAGGGATTCCCCCCGCAGAAAAAAGAAGAGCTTCTACACTGTGTGAAAAGCCCGACCAAGCGTTGACTGAGCCATCACCCCTCTGAACATAGAAGTTCAACGTTGTGTCTGCGTTTGGCTGAGTGTTCCCCAAAGGTTCAAATGATGTCGATGGCCCAGACAAGGTTCACGGCCGCGTGGCACAGTCGGCGTGGGGAGATTCGTGTGCACCAAAACTTCACACCATTCCAGTCCTCGTCGCGCCCAGGAGTCGAGGGATGTTTGGTAGTTCGCAAATGAGGAACCCGACTCCATGGGGTCTCTCTTTGGTTTACCTTTACAACATGCTTCAACCGTCACATGTGCAAGCAGTACAACGAAAGGACCACGAAAAAAACAACAAAAAAATCAAACTTTTGGAACCATGACTGAACATGGACCAAAAGCGCAATCACAAAAGGCGACAGGTTGGCTTTGGGCAAGGGACATCAGATATATCTGTTTTCACAGCGGGGGCCCTGACTCCAAATCCCGGATTGGAAAGCGTGTGGGTTTTTACAGGCAACCCAGACCCGGGGCTGCCGGGGAACGGGCATAGACAAAATGAAGGAGGGCTTCGGTTGGGTCCTGCTGGCCCGGGGGCCGCCCGAAACGCCCGAAAGGACCACAGAGCAATGGCGTGGAAATGTCTGGCAGTGGGTCCCTAAGCATTCATAGCCACAAAATGCGGCAATGGCGCCTTGCGATGGGTCTCGGTCATATGGACTTCCTGCTGTGGTCCAACCCATGAAACAGCGCTTGCTCCTTGGGCCTGCTGAATGCAGTTTACCACGACTCTGTGGGCCTGTGGCTTTGTGTTCTGAGGGCGCCGTTTTTGTGATTGCTGGAAAAAGGAAGCAAGGGACGCCTGTCCCCTTGTGGTGGCTTCCCTCATTTTAAGTCGAAGCATCCCGCGAAACGGGAAAGGGACCCCCCCCTCAAAAAACCGGAATGGATATCCGCCCTCTTGATGCTGCGCGCGGCTGTTGACAACGCGCCCCCAGGATTGACAATAGCCCTACATCCTAGCTGTGTTTAGCGAAGCCATCACCTGGCAAGTCAAGCAACCGGCCTTTTGACCATCTAAATCCCCCTCCTCCTCCGGCATCAGGGCCAAACCCTGGCAGTAAGGCTTCACGATGTCATCCACGTTTTCCAGGAAGAGCCCCCAGGTTTCGTCCGGGCGGGCGCCCCACACCGGTCGCTTCTTCCAAAGAGTGTACCTAGGTCCGGAGCTGGAACAGCTCCAAAACTTCACTCCGGAGCTCATGTTGATGTCGTTTTCAGGGGACCCCCGAATGGAAATGACCATTCCTTTTAAAAGCCAGACGTGGGTGGTGCGAAAATTCTAAGGCACCACAGCCAGTGCTCCCAAAGCTTCCAGCTGGGTCAAACATGCCAAATGAGATCAAGCGCCTTTCTATTTGCTAGGTCCAAACCGGTGGAGAGGCTGGAATAAGGGTACCCGTTTTCTTTTTTCTCCCCCCGGTTTTGTCTATTTTAGTAGGGGAACCCTCCCCCCAAAAAGGGCAAAAGGGCACGATCCTGGGGGACCTAGTTTGGCTATCTTTGGGCCATGCTGGGGCCACAGCCATCGCAAGGGGGGGTCCGTTGCTTGCTGGCTTGCTTGCTTACTTGCTTGTTGGCCGGTTTATTGCCCTTTCACTTGCAACGACCTTGACACTGGAAAAGGGATCTGCTTGGTATCGCTTGCTATCTCAGACAGTGACTCTAAACCATGGTTGGCACAACCGTGCAGAACATCACGCACTTAGATAAAGAAAATTCTAACGTTAAGACAAGCCTCCAACTTGCCACATCCATTTCCACTCTCAGAGTCCACCCTATGGGGATGTTCAAACATACTTCTCCAAACTGTCCTTCCAGCGTCCTTCTCGAGCCTTCCACGTCACTGGCTGGTTTGTGCGCATGCCGTTTGGGTTGCTTCCGGGCGGAGCTGGAAGCTGGGCCCTTCGCTCGCAGGCGGAAAGAGGCCAAGGCGCTTTGCTTTCTCCCTCCAGGCGCCCATTGCAACGCCCATGCGGCGTCCGCGCCTTTTTTTTTTTTTTGCTTTTCTCCGTTTTTTTTGTTGGTGTTGTTGTGTTAGGTGTTGCCGGGGCCGTATTTTACAACACACACATATCCGTACTGGTATGTCACCAGCCCTTGTTTTTTTTTTTTTTTCTTCCGCCCTTCTGCTTCCGCGCGGCCCGCGGCTCATGCCAGGTTAGGCAGGAAGCTCGGAACACTAAGCCGGCGTCAGCATTTCTCTCGTTGCGCCCGAGCCTTTTTTGTCAGGCATTATTTGGCATACCCTCAAGAAAACACCCTTTCCAAAAGAAAGGACTGAGGACCGTACAGCCAGAACATTCCTGTTTCAAACACCCAGTTGAAATATCCAAAGAGCTTGTCGCAAAGTTCTGTCCGGTGTTGCTTTAGCTTTCAGCCGGCTTTGGTGCGGCCTGACTGTACCCTGCACAAGGGGGCTTGGCTGTGGACAATGTTAGGCGCCTCATGTCCTCGACCATAGACTTCCATTGTCTTTACCTTGGGGAAAAATACGTTATATGTCCGGCGGCGATAGATTTCCTTCAAAACCTAATTTGGTGGGGGTTACCCCCCTGAAAACAATGATGATATGTCCAGTGGCGATCGATTCCGTTTGAAACCCTTGGGGGGGAAATCATGCGCTTGTAGAAATAGAAGTGGGGTCGGAACAAGCGCACGGACGAAGGGGGCTTGGTGCAGTCGGAGCGGCGCTTCAGCCAGGATCTTCAGCAGCTTTGCCCGGCTCAACTCGGTCGCTTCCGGCACCTAGGCTATCAAAGGAACCGCCTGGTGTGGGGCTTTCGTGTGAACTGGGGCTAAAGGCCTCCAAAGTCATGTTCTATTTGTTGGTTCTCAGGGTGGACGAAAAGCGACCCATGGTTAGCCAATGGTTTTCCATGGCCGCTCAGCGTTCCCGGAGGTCAACCCTGAGTACCATTAAGCCGCCTCCTTCGCAAGGGCAAGGGCCAATTTCTGGAACCAGGAATCCTTCAGAACGCAGCCCAGTTCGCTACGATCACGGCGATTCAGAAGAAAGGGCTGACAACAATCTGGGTCAGAGAAAAACCGCGGACTTGGGACTTTCTGGTATGACCCCCTGTTGGCTTTAAACCAATTTTCAGGACTTAGGCAGGTGGACAAAAACTAAACAGGGCAGTTCAAAATGGAGGGTTGGCCAATCCTAATCCATAATCCCTGTAGGGAAGCCACTACAAAAGAAAAAACCGGTTGCGTAACCGAAGGATGAAGGATTGCCTTTGAACAGCCCAGTTAAAGGGCCCCTTGGAGTCTCATGGCCCACAGCCTTTGGCTTGTTGAGCCCCCGGCAGGAGACAGGCGCTGTTGGCATGTCCTGAGTTGAAAAGGCCCCTTGGCCAGCGGCTGACGGCACGCTAGCCCGTCCTATAGAAGGACGCCTGCTTGTTCCTTAATGAATCTTGGTTGCTTTCTGCTCCCCTGCTACAAGTTTAACTTTTAGTGGTTTCATGGAAATCCATTAATTAGTTGGCAAAAAGTTAACGGCAAAATGCACCAAAGTCATGTTCAAGCCGACCAACCCCCCCCCCCCCCCCAAAAAAAAGAAAGAAGAAGAAGAAGAAGCACAAGTAGAGGGCTAAACGCATCTTGGGTTCGGAGGACGTGACAACGATTGGGGGGGGGGGGCCATGCCGCTCCGAACATGGGCCGAACCTGGGGCTCAAATTAAATGCGCACCGGATTTAACAAAGACAACAAGAATCTTCTTGGCTTGAGGCTGTGATTTTTGCCAAGAAGGACAACACAGGCACGATAAAAAACAGGCACCATTTAAAAAAAAGGCGCGATTTGACAAAACAACTTTTATTTCGGAAGGCTTGAGACTGTGACTTTTTGACAGGAAGGGAACACAAGCACCACTGCCAATCAGCGAGAGAGACGTTGCGGCGCATGCGCATGGGGCTGCCCCTTGCCTTCAGGAAACTCACCTCGTGGCCCAAAAAGGCGATGTGCAACGCAAGCAATGGACGTGTTGGACAAATCAGCTGGTGTTGCCGGCGCACGCCTTTAGCACATAGGCTCTATGATTCGGTGGGCGCAGGTTGGGATTGCGCGAGCCACCCAAGGCAATGAAAGGAAGCTTGAAACAGGGCCCCTGCCCCTTGATTAGGTCACAACTGTGCCCAATCCATCTTGAAACAATCAACCAGGCGCGGCTGATCTGATAGAACCAAGGTTTACCTGCCACCCTCCGGCCGCCTTTTCCCATGGCCCAAAAAACAAGCGCTGTCCAAAAGAACTCCTTCGGGGTGCTGGGGCGAATTCAGCACTGGCTCCTTTGTCCGGGCGTTCCTCCACCCAAAGAAAGCCTTAGGCGCTGATGCAAAGGGTTGGAGATGGGGTGGGCGCAGCTTGGGCTCCGGTCTCTCAATTCATCCACGGAATTTTGCAGATTTGAAGTTTGTGCAGGTGTCTTACCGAATACCTGGGACATAAACTGGAAATTTGAGTGGACCAACTCAAACATGTTGTGCTCCTAAAGAAGAAGTTGTTTTTTCAGAACCCGCTGATTTTCCCTTTGGCTTCCCTGTGCAACCCTTGCGCTCCCCCCCCCCCCCCCCGCCCCGGTGTGCGCGATCGAAATTGTTGATCTCTCGCACCCCACCTGCCTCAAGGCCTTCTGCACTCTCTTACCTCATGCGGGTCCGGTCGCTTCTCATTGGCACACATTTAAATCAGGTTGGCCAAGTACCATCATGTTGAAGATCACAGATCAATAATCATAATTTACCCATTCTGAAAGTATGTTTGACCTGTACTCCCAATTAACCACTATCAATTGAAAATTGTACAGGTGGCCCTTCCGAGGCCTGGGGGGCGGTGACCTCTTGGAGAAACAAACATCTGGCCCTGGCAAAGGGAAGAAACAAACAACATCTGAACCGGTGCCATCTACCTCTGAAAAAAAAACAAAAACTTAAAACGAACACCTTTGTCCTCCAGAACTCCATGGCCATAATTTTAATCATAGAAGTTCTCATGTCCCCCAAGTATCGCGAGACAAAAGCCTCGTACGCGGCTTTTTTGGCCCCCCCTGGTACTGCATACCCCTGGGCCTCTGAGGAAGCTAGGTGCCTTTCGCCTGCGGATGGGTGGGCGCTGAGGCTCAAGGGCCTTGTCGCTTTCAAGGGCCCCGCTTCTCTCGGGACAGACAGTTGCGGCCAAAGCCACCTGTTCCCTCGCCTCGTGCCCTCGCCTTCCCCGAGGTGGCCGCCCAAGAGGGGCTTGGGTTCGAGGTTGTTGCTTTTTTTCTCGAGGGGAGGGGGGGGGTGAAAGCCAGCTTGCTCGTCCCAGGAGGATCCCGCCAAGAGGGATGTTTCACGTTTGATTGGCCTCCAGTCAGGTAGGGATGGGAGGGGTGGTTGAATACATCCCTGCGGAATTTATGAGCAGGGTCATCCCAAGCGAGTACAGAAAGCAGCAAAAATAGCTGCGGACAGTAGCAAATTGTGTGGTTTGTCGAGTCGCAAACATTTGTGTCCTTCTTGGCACCCTTCAAAACGTGCCATTTTCGTAAGCCTCCAAGCCTGACAACATGCGTAAATGGGCATGTCTGAATGCAGGCATTTCCTCCATGGATCAGATACTGACAGCTTCTTGACCTAAGCTACTTCTCGAAGGTCTGGCAAAATGACAAGTGTTGCCTGAATTGCGTGGCATCCGGGTTTACTAGGTCCTCCAGTAGAGAGGCTAGAATAAGGGTACCAACTTTTTATGTAGTCTATGTATTAGTAGGGGAACCCTCCCCCAAAAAAGGGCAAAAGTGCACTACTGTGGGGACCTAGTTTATCTTTAGGAAGGGCACGCTTTAAACTCCAGACGTTTGCGGGCCGCGCCAGCAGGGGGCTATGTGTAACGCACCAGCGTTGTGCTCCCGGCAGTTTTGACAGCATTTCTCAACCGCCGCAACGAAAGCCTTTTCGGTCGGGCCCATCCGATCGTAACAAGTCAAGTTTTCACAGTGTTTTGCTCAGTGCCCGTGGGATGTGGTTGTTGCCAACTTTGCAGAGGCCAGCAATCAAACTTGGGAATCTGGTGATCTCAAATATGGGGGGGTGCTCATTTCAGTCCAGACACCTGCAGTTTGAATGAGGAGCAGCTTTTTTTCCCCCCCGCAAAAGGTGTATTGATTGAAAAACCCGTCTCAGTCAGGGCTCCCTATATTTCCCCTTAAAACGTCACCCCCCAGCAAGGGATACTCGCCTTTCATGGACCAACAAGGCGATGTTTGAAACCATCAAAAAGGGAAATATAGGGACCCCTGTCAGTCCCGAGACAAAAACCTTCCCAGACTGGGCCGGCCCCACACATTCCCGGCCGAGTCTGAGCTCACGTAGACTACGTGCTGTCGCAAAAACCGTCCGCCGGGGGCCCCCGACACGGCAAGAAGCCAAAACAAGAGTTCCAGAATTCCAGAAACTCAAGGGAGAAGAGTTGGAGACTTTGAGAGTTGTGCTTTGGAAGGATCGTGCCAGCCCACCGTCCAACTAAAAAAGCGCAGCCTCCCCCCGCACCCCCCCCTGCCCTCAAAAAAAACATTCCCTTGCAATCAGGAAAAGAACCTGATCACAAGGAACTCCGGGCGTTTGAACCGAAAGTCCCTTGTCGGGTATCTGAATTCAGGGGATCCCCAGAACTACGGCATAACCGCATATAAAGAGGATCGCGACCCGAATTCCAATTTGTCAGAACCGCAAAGTGCTTGAAACTTCCAATTTGATCCTGGCTCATTTGCTCATGGGTGTCTGTGTGTGTGTGTGGTAAAATGGACGCCTGTGTTCTGATCATGCACTCCCTTAGAAGCCTACCAAACTACCATCTGCACTAATTCCCACATTTCAGCTCACTAATTCCCATATTTCAGCTACCTGAATTAAAGAATCCCCTGAGTGAGAATCATCACGGGTCCCAAGATCCTTTTGCCCCCGTTCGTTTTCTTTTTTTGCAAATCAATTGGTAGGACCATGGAGGAAATCAACACTTCTCACTTTCTGAGTGGATGGCCAAAAAAGTCTGAGCTTTTTCTGGGCTGGCCTCAGATCCCCTGCTAAAAGTTTAACTAGTGGGTTAAATGGAAAGTACCACTAACCCCTGAAAGCCTAAAAAGCTAAGGAGACGGCTGCGGGCCACCAAGTTGTTTTTCTTCAGATTATTCTTCCAAGCAAGAACAAAGTCCAGGAACTCATGAAGTGAGGCTTGGAGCAAACATTTCTCCAACTTGCGCTCCAGTCTACAGAGCCTGGCCTGGGGCAGATTCAAACGGCCCCCCCCCCTGTGAAGTCTACCTCAGTCCAAAAGCGGCCACGCTGGAAAGGGGAAGACGCAGGACCCAAGGACCCAGAAATACAAGGTGAACCTTTACTAAAAATGCGCCGGAGAAAAAACAAAACAAAAAAACGGGAAAGCCAACAAGTCCAAAGGTCGATTCGCTTTGGGCAACTGATGCGCTCGCCTTCTTTGGTGTGGCCGGCGCCGGCTCGGCTGTGACAATTTGAGGCAGGCACTGGAGAGGAGCAGCAGAAGCTGCTTGCGGGTCTCGTCATTGCCTACGGCAATGAAACCCTCGAAGTTGGGCATGGCATCCGTGAAAAAAATGTCTGCTCCCCCAAAAATCAGATTCCTGTTGGCCCACATCTGAGGGTGTTTCTGGAGCCACGTATGAAGGTGTTGGATGGATGTGGGATGGGGGGTACTCCAAAAATAGGATGAGTCCAGACTTTGATTCATCTTGCCCCAAGAAAAATCTTGGCGGAAAAAAAAAAAAAACGGGCCCAGGTCTCTGGGGGTATCTCCGGGGCGTCTGGCTGCTGTTGCTCTCCGTCACGTCGCTGAGAAGGCGCCTGGCGCTGAGGCCAAGCGGGTTGTTTCCCTGTAGGTAAAATGGAAGCTACCAGCCCGAGACAGCAGAAAAAGGCCAAGGAACCGGAGGGCTGGGGGACTCACCAAGGCAAGTGGTTCTCTCTCCCTCTGTCTCCCTCCCTCTGTTTCTCTCTCTCTCTCTCTCTCTCTCTCTCTCTCTCCTATTAAGTGTTTAGCCACCACGATTCAAAACCAACCAACCAAGCAAGCAAGCCAGCAAGCGAGCAAGCAAGCGAGCAAGCAAGCGAGCAACCAAGCAAGTTGACAAAAGGTGGAAGGAGCTACGTTTTTTGGCCTTCCCTGAAGTCTTGAAAGGGTTCCCTGGTATCTAGATGACGCTCCCATATTTCACCAGGGTTCTGGATTTCCCACTGGGACATGTCACCTGTACCATGGAAGTACACCTTGCTTCACCCAAAACCAAAGGGCTCCAACGAGACTTACCTGCAAGCATATTTCCCAGCCTTGAACTGGACTCCCCAATGAGGCACGGAGGGAAGGCCACCAAAGGGATTGTGATGTTTAGCAACCGCGTTGGGATACCCCGTGGCTTTTGGAGTCCGAGGCCCAGTCACTATCAAAGTGGCCCTATGGTTGTGGTTCCCTTCCGAATTTGTGAGGTTGCCCATCGCACCTCCAAAATCGGAGCTGGTGCGTGGAAAGGTCATGCAGGGGTGGCTGGGTTGGGTTGGAAGACCTTTGGAACGGCCTAGGGGCTGCTGGCACGAGGGAATGAGCGCGACATGTCTCCAAATGCTGGACTACCTCCTCCACATCCCCTGGCTGGAAGCCACACCCAAGAAGACTCCCCAAAGTTCCCCCCAAAAAAGGCGAGTGCGATTGGTGGGAGTGCGAAAAAGAAAGGGGAACTCTGGCGGGCGAGTTTTTTGCGCTGAGTTCAGAACTTTGCTGTCTCCCACTACACAACAAAAAACATTGAGGGTTCCATATGTATATAGCCATGGGTCAAAAGCACCTACCCCAAAATGGTACCATTGGTTTTGACCCACAGCCATACAGCTAGGATTGTTCACTGGCAGAAGCAAGTTTCAGCTTTGGCCCTTGGCTTACATGATCTGCCAAGACAAGCAGACCGAATCTCTCTGCAGCCTAGCCGGCACACGGATCCCGCCTGATCTGCACTGGCATGGTCCTTGCAAAAAGGCCCGCCAGGAATGGGGGCTCCCCACACATTGGTCAGGTTCTTCCAGGCAAGCCGCAATCGACCAGGGCTTGTATGTAAAACCAACAAGTACAGTTTACCCACCTAAGTGGCATCTGGGATTGGGTCAGGTTCCAAGCCGACTCCCGCTTCAGCACAAGCCGAAAGGGTATGCCCTGAAACGAGGGCGGCCGAACCGAGCCATGGGTGTGGCTGCGTGCCACCCCGGGCAACATGTGACCCAGGGCGCTCAAGGTGCAGAAGCAACCATCTTGTCACCCACTCCCCGCCCCAACCCCAAGCACACAAACCTCACGCAAGCCTCATTCCGATGACTCATTCCCGCTTCCCACGGGCATTTCTGCCCATTCGCAATGGCCCACTCCGAGGCTTGCCCGAAATCCCAGTGGCTCGTTGCATGTCACGCATAGTTGGACAAGCCATGCCATGGGACCCCGGGCTTCTCAAACTGCGGTGCGGAGCTTAGGAAGAAACGAGAGGAACAATGCGTTGAACAGACACTTGCAAGGAATGCAAAGATGACCACCGGGGTCCCTCTTTTCTGTGGATAAGGGGAATGGGGCTCCAAATGGAATTCCAAGCCTCCAACGCTTCTTAAGGGTGTGGGGATGCTCTACTGGTTTCACGGGGTTAAACTGTTCTGTTGATTCCAGCCGGTTGGAAAGTCGATCAGCAAAATAACACTTCAAGCAAGTGAGTTCTGGATTGAAGAGTTGATTTTGAGAGGGAAGCCAGAGGGAAACACTCATTTTCAGGGGTTCTCAAAGGGTAGGGTCCCTGAAGTTAACCGCAACTGATCAACCACGGCTACGAATGACCCGCCCAAAGCTTTCCAGCCGGAGGCACACCGCCGCGCCCCGAACACAAACAGCTGAAAGCCAACTCCGCGGGCTGTCGAGCGCTGGATGCCGGAGCTCTGGGTGGCTCGTCCAGTAGCAATGGACGAGCCCCCGAAAATGGGGGCTTGTTCCCTCGTCGTTTTTGGGGTCCTATGAAACCCAAAAAGAGCACCCTGAAAATGAAACACACGCACACACACATGTGCGGTTTTGGGTTTGGCTCAAGGGAATCCGTATACAGATTCGTCAAACCGCAAATACGAGGTACTTGGACCCTTTGGGAAATCTTGTTTCGAGCGGAGCAAAACCACCCACCTGGCAATTACGATTAGTTGATTGTCATCAACTTAGTTGGGTCAACCATTTGTTTCATGGCGTCTTTTCTCAGTGGGACACTGACCTTCTTCCCCCCTACCAAAAAAAGGGTCCTGAAAAACATGTCCGTTTGGTTTCCATGAAGCGGCCAACGTTCGAAGCGCGTCAGGTTTCCCGTTTTGCAACTAATCCTTCTCCAGGCAACTGGGAAACCGGAAGCAAGAACAACATACTTGAGGTTGCCCGCGCTTCTGCCCAGTGGCCATGGGACAAAGAAAGGCGCGGTAGCGGATTTTAGCGGGAAGCCCCCTACCCAAAAAGGAAAGACAGGCACCTCGTGTGTCTGGACCTGTTCCGGAAGTAAGGCGAAACCCCTACGGTGTTCAGTCATTCGGTGGAGCCCGGCACAAGCTTGGCGATGGAATCCGCTACTTTCAGGGGATGCCATTCTCCACGGTAATGTTGACCCCAGATTTATAAACCCCAGCTTATTAATATGGGGGTGCCCTGGTTTTAGTGGTTGAATTTATCACTTTTGCAGGGACCTCCACCCCCATATTAATCCACCGGGGTTTATTACTCCGGGGTCAACAAATTCGCTTTCCACCCGGTCCGCAAAGTCTGACCTGAGTTCATGGGCTCAACGCTACTCCTAGGTCCTCCAGTTTTGGAGGTTAGAAGAAGTTGGTACTGTTTCCTTTTTTTTCTTCTTTTTTTCCGGTTCTGTCTATTTTAGTAGGGGGGTTGGGTGAGAAAGGTTGCACCAATCGCTGAAGGACCTAGACTCTGAAGAGTGAAGAAACCTGGCAACAAAGAGCTTAAACTTTGGAGACTGAACATGTAAGATTCTTGGTTGCTGTTGGCCCCCTGCAAAAAGTTCTATTCATTCCAACCAAAAAGTTGAAGTCTAAAGATCCAACCCAATAGCAGTCAAGGATTTAGCACAGAGAGCCGGAAGGCTTGCGAGCTGACTTCAACCACTCGCGACTCGCGTGTTCTTCCTTCGGATTCGATTCCCCGCACCAGCACCCCGTTTCCAGCAGGTTGCCTACAGCGAAACCAACACCCGAGGTTTCCCGACGAAATGGGTGAACCCTTCAGCGAGCTCCCGGCGCAAAGGATTGCCAAAATCCTTGCTCAGCGGAGCTCAACAAAGTCTTCTTTGAAGGGAGCTCCCAAAATGGTCAGGGCTGTGGGGAATGACCACTTCTGTGATACAACAGAAACGGCTTCCCAAAGACTATTTTGTTAATACAAAGAAGATTTTCTTGTATCACAGAAGTGGGGAGAAACCCCTTGATCCCACAACCCTGAAAATGGTGGTTCAAACAATAGCGACTGGAGCATGCTTAAACCAGGGGTACCCTCTTTTTCAGCCGAGGGTCGGGAGCCACACATGTCTTTCCCCAAGGCTTCGGGATGTGTTCAAGGGGCTTTGCAAAAGTCTTGTGCATTTGTCCGGTGAAAGGCCCTGGCAAACCTCACAGGTCCCATGCTGACAGGCTCCGGATTTCCACGCTCATTGACTCATTGGCCGATCCACGCCCCACGTTTCGGGCGCCACCGAGCCCCTTGAAACAAGCCATTGCTCGGAGAGAATTTTACTTCCACCCCTCGGGAATTGCGCATTCGACGTTCTAACCCTCACTAGGTCCTCCAGTAGAGAGGTTAGAATAAGGGTACCTTTTTTTTCTGTAGTCTATCTTAGTAGGGAACCCTCCCCCAAAAAAGGGGCAAAAGGGCACTACTGGGGGACCTAGCTCAACAAAGTACGTAACCAATCCACTCCGGTCACCGATGGCCATCGGTGAAACTGGCGCTCGTGATTGAAGTTTGCAAGCTCGCCGGGGCCGTAGATTCGTAGATCGTGGAAAGTATTGTGTTCCTCCTGGGGGAGACCTTGGGGTTCCCTATTCCCTTCCACTTTGAACATCATCCCAACAGCAGCCAAACCCTCGAGTTGCTTAAGTCCCCTGGAAAAAAAAAACATCCAGTAGTGATAGATTCCCTTTAACACCAACAGGTTTAAAATAACAAATATTCTTCACCAAATGGAAGAACCCCCCAACAAAAAACAACAAACACAGGCTTTAAAGCCTAGACTCTCGAATCGGATTCAGCTCGGAGCCTGCTTCCAATGGTAGCCTGGTAGCATGAGCTCATGTGATTCTGAAAAACGCCCCAGCCAGAGTCTGCATCGCCGGCGCAATAAGGCACTGGTCTTGACTTGGTTGCTGTTGCCCCCCTGCAAAAAGTTTCACTTTTTGGGAGGTTTCGTGGACAACCCAACTTGACGTCCCAAAAAGTTAGTCTAAAGATCCAACCCAGCAGCCAAATTGAAATCGGGCGCTCACTTGTGCTCCAGAAAGGGCAAGTTGGACTGGCAGAAAAGCCGCACGTAGAGCTGGTCCTGAGTTGCTGCTTGACCACTTGGGGGAGAGTCATGCTATTGGCCTCACTGCTTGCCAACCCTTTTCTCGGTTGCTTTCTGCTCCCCTGCAAAAAATATTTAACTTTTAGTGGTTTAATGGAAAACCCATTGCTTGGCAAAAAGTTGAAGTCCCCACATCCAAGCTAAACGCACTCAAGTTTTGAAAACAGAAGTTCTACTGATTCTGTGCCTAAGCCCTAGTATGGCATGCGCCTTTGCATCCTCACCAGGAAGCCCCTTCCCTGCTTTCTTGTATGTAGACGCCACCTCGCAAGACAAAACGGTGTAGGGCAGGTACTCAAATAAAGTTTAGAAGGAACCTCCGCAGTACTGCAACTACTTGAGCAAGCCCTCTCTACAAATGCATGCACCTGCGCGTGATCTTCAGAACTAGATGCACTGCACGTAAAAAGCTACAAAATCAGAAAGCGCAGGAACTGGGGAATCGGGCCGAAAAACGTGGGTAATTCGGCTCTTCTGCGCACAAGCTACCTCGGTGAATTCGACGCCCGTGCGCAGGCGGGTTCGGAGCTTTCTTGGAGACGGCGGTCAGTGAACACTCTGTTCACTTTGGGTGGGGTCAACCCTCAACTAGGCTGGAATTAGGACCCCGGCAAAAAATGTTCTTTTTTGCCTGGTTAGTGGAAAACAAAGGGACCCCAAAAAAACAAAAAACTAAAAGGGGAGCTAATTCTGGGGAAGTAAACGCGTGGTTCTTTACAGCGCCTGTTTGCTCCCGCGACTGCCCTTTGGTCTGCTGCCTTCGGCTGGTCCGCATTGCACGGCTCAAACAAGCCTCTCTAATCTTGAGCATGTGGCACACACACACGCACGCATACATCGCGACCGTCACACACATCGCGACTTGACCTCTCATCACATGCCGTACCACCACACGTACACCTAGCTGGCAATCAAGCGTAGTTCACAACATTATCATTATCATTGGAGGCTTCCATAGGCAACCTTTTATTGCCCGTTGGCATTTCCCTTGACAGCCCCAAGTGGAACATACTTAATAACAACAGACAGCTTTGCTAGCCAATGAAGCCAAGAAGTATTACACCACCCATCAGATGCTGGGTCTTGACGAACCCTTGGAGATTCCAAAGAATATGCCGAGCATCATCGCCCTCCGCAAAGAAATGCCAATAGATAACAGCGACTCCAGCAATGGAAAGCGCTGCAGCCAGAATCACCAGTGCGCTCTGCCAATAGTGCCATTCCGGCAGCAGCAGAATTCCTCGGCAAATTCGTGCATGTCTTGTTTGAGGGTAACCTTGTTGGGGGCCTCCTAAGGGAAGCCAAGCGGAGGGCCCCTCCTTTTCAGAGGGGAGCCTTTAAAACGATTGTCCCATTACGCGAAGTCCAAAAGGCTATCCGATCCTCAAGGTGCACGAGTTTTAAGACAACCCAGAGGATCCCCAATCAATGGGCGTCCCAGTTGAGGCAGTTTTCAAGGACCAGCTGGACAAGAATCCCGCATAGCCTGATGTGTGACTCTAAGGCTCTTTTCTAACACAGTAAGGCTCTTACCTGGGTCCGTTACAGCTAGCATGTTGAGGTTCTCTTCATACCAAAGTATTGGGGTCTCTTTCCAACTCTTGTTATGGCAATAAAACAATGTACTGCTTGCAGCCCCTTAGTAAACATACGCAGAACCAACAAACAACCTTTACACATGCCAACAACATGACACTTTGTTGTCATAGCCAACCATTAGATGTCAAGCTTGAGGATGTCACTTCCGACCGGCTCTTGTCGGCCCATCACAGTTGAGCCCCACTCAGGGGCTTTTCAAACACCCCTCTAGTGATGGATCCTCTTTGAAACCAGAGGGCACGAACACATCTTCTCAAGCAAAAGTGGAAGTTACCCCTCATCTCCGTTTCGGTTTTCCTCTTTGAACAAATTGTGGCCCTTGAACACTTTGCTGTCTGGCGCAACCTTCTCTAGGTCCTCCAGAGAGGTTAGTTAATAAGGGCACCAACTTATTGCTGTAGTCTAGTTTAGGGGAACCTTCCCAACCAAAAAAGGGGTGAGACAGGTTGCACCTATCTGGGGGCCCGAGTTCTACCGGGGCGCCGATGCTGCCGCACATCAGCAAGAAGTTCTCCCGCCACAGAAACGGCGAGAGCCAAACCGTCGTGGCCATCACCTTGGTGAGACTCGCACCAGGAGCCTTGGAGCCACAACTACTGGTGGACAAAACCCAAACACTCTCGAATCATGATTCCCCTGTAAATGCAAACGAACAATGGTTTCCCATGGTTTTGAAGTGGTGCGAAATGGATTTCGTCCATGCACAGTAGGCCCTCCAGTAGAGAGGCGAGAACAAGGGTACCGTTTCTGGTGAGAAAGGGCACCTAGCTGGGGGACCAATAGCCACCACGCGGCTCGTGTGTCCTTTTGTTGAGGCTACAGTTTTACGCGTTTAAAAGGGATACCAACAAACCATCCAATTTTGGGGAGTCTAGAAAAAGGACATAGACCCCTAGCTATCCAAGGCGCCCAAAATGGCTCCCAGTACCTGGTGGGGTTGTTGATTGAGGTAAAAAGCCAAACCCTTGGTACTGGGGAACAAGGTGCCGCGACAAAAATCGGCTTGGATTGGGAGGGGCCGTGCTCACTCACCTCACTTCCTGAGGGCCAAAACCAGTCCGAACTTTTTTTACACAAGCCAAATGGCCCAAACCCAAAAACCTCAGGAAGTCAGGACTCGGTTACTTTTTGGGTGGGGGGGGTTAAAGGTGGGCCCTGCTAAAAGTGAATAACTTTTATATAGTGGTGTAGTACGGAAAGCCCAGTAATTGGATCAAAAAGTTAAACAGTCCTAACATCCCTTGGCAACATGCACCAAAGCGGAAGTGAGGCCAGTGTTACTTTTTGGGTGGGGGGGGTTAAAGGTGGCAACCAAAAACTAGGTCCTCCAGACTCGAGAGGTCAGAATAAGGGTACCAACTTGTTCCCGTAGTCTGTTTTAATAGGGGTTTTCCTCCCAACCAAAAAAGTTGGTGAGAAAGGGCACCTAGCTGGGGGACCTAGGCAACATCAGCTGCAACAAATGACCCGCCCACTTTTTGGGAGGGGGGGTTAAAGGTGGCAACCAAAAAGGTGACTAACCTGGGTTGCTTGCTAAAAGTTTAACTTTAGTGGCTTAGTACGGAAAACGCATTTGTTGGATCAAAAAGTTAAAAAGTCCTATCCCTTGGCAACATGCACCAAAGCGGAAGTGAGGCCAGTGTTACTTTTTGGGAGGGGGGAGTTAAAGGTGGCAACCAAAAAGGTGACTAACCTTAGTTGCTTTCTGCTTTCCTGCTAAAAGTGAACAACTTTTAGTGGCTTAGTACGGAAAACTCATTTGTTGGATCAAAAAGTTAAAAAAGTCCTAACATCCCTTGGCAAAATGCACCAAAGTAAAGTCCGAAAAACTGAGCTGCCTGGGCGTGCGCTTACATTTTTGCAGCCGAGCGGCGGTGATCATCGCGGCATCGCCCAAGACGTGTTTCCAGTGCCCCGTGGCGAGGGCCAGCAGCAAGTTGCCTTCGCCCGCGACTCCGCGACTCGGGGCCGTTTGGGGGGTTTGGGGGGGGGGGGTCTGTTCTTGCTTTCTCAAGATGTCCTTTGTTCGTCTTAGAAAAAGTGCAACTGACATGGCTGACCCATGCGCAGACTGCAAGCCTCATAACGCGCAAAAAGCGCACTACCCGGGTCTGTTCTGTCCTCTTTTTTTTTTTATGGAAGGGGTGCTCATAGGGATGTAGTTTTACAGCTCCAATGCCTGCAAAACACGGTAAACACCGTGCTTTTCTCTTTTTTTTGGGCCACACCAAAATGGGATGACCATCAAAAAAAACTTTTTTGGCAATCAACAAAACACTTTCAGCCATCAACAAAAACTTTTTTAGCAATCAAAAAAAAACTTCCCACAATCTCACTCTGCTGCTTGTATATTCTGTTCTTTTGGTTGGCATTTGATTTTCTGGTTCCTTGAACACCCCGCTTTGGTCCCTTGGTCCTTTGGTCCCTTGGTCCTCTGGTCCCTTGGTCCTTTGGTCACCTTGGTCCCTTGGTCCTCCACTTTCATGGTCCTTGCTCCTCTGGTCCCTTGGTGCCTGGTCTTGGTCTCCTGGTCCCTTGGTCCCGGTCCTGGAGCCCTTGATCCTCTGGTCCCTCGCTCCTTTGGTTATCTTTGGCCTCTGCTCTGTTGGTCTTGGTCCCTTCATCCTTGCATTTCTGGTCCTCTGGTCCTCTGGTCCCTTGGTCCCTTGGTCCTTTGGTCTCTTGATCCTTTGGTCTTTTGAGTTCCTCTCTGTTTGGCTTTTGCAGCTTTTTGTTGGGTTTATGCGGCTTTGGCTTTTCGCATCCTCTGCATTACCAGTTTTTTGAGGTGGCTTTTTGGCTTTGTGGCTTTTGGCGGCTTTCTGGCTTTGGCTTTTTGCATCCTCTGCTTTCCCAGTTGGTTATTGGCCGTGGCTTCCTGCATCCTCAGTTCCTCTTGCCCCCCTTTCAATTGAAATGCCACCCCTATTCAAATCATCACTTTTTCGATCATCATGGGGGGGCCAACCCCCCACTACTATGTAGATTTTTTGCCCCTCATTGAATCATCACTTTTTCGATCGTCCCCCGCCCTAATTGAATCATCACTTTCTGGATCATCATGGGGGGGCTGCCGCCCCCCAAACCCCCCCGCTACTTTTAGATGTTTGGCCACAACTTGAATGATCACTTTTTCGATCATCATGGGGGGGGCTGCCGCCCCCCCCAACCCCCCCGCTACTTTTTAGATTGTTTGCCCCTCGCTGTTTTTTGTTTTTTTGTTTTTCTTTTTAAATTCTTGCCCCTAATTGAATCATCTGTTTTTCGATCATCAATTGAATCATTCGATCATCTGGGCGGGGGACCCCCCCAACCCCTGCCCCCCCCCTACTTTTTACATTTTTTACCCCTAATTGAATCATCACTTGTTGGATCACCATTGGGGGGCTGCCCCCCCCCCCCCCGCTACTTCTCAGATTTTTTGCCCTAGTTGAATCATTATTTTCTTGATCATCGAGCTGCCACCCGCCCCCCCAAACCCCCCCTCTACTTTTAGATTTGTGGCCCCCAATTTGAATCATCACTTTTTCGATCGTCATGCGGTAGCCCCCCCCCCAACTTCCCCGCCACTTCAAGATGTTTTGCCCCTAATTGAATCATCACTTTCTGGATCATCATGGGGGGGGGCTGCTGCCCCCCCCAACCCCCCCGTTATTTTTAGATGTGTGGCCACAACTTGAATGATCTCTTTTTCGATCATCGTGGGGGGGGCTGCCGCCCCCCCCCAACCCCCCCGCTACTTTTTAGATTGTTTGCCCCCTCGCTGGTTTTTAGATTTCTTGCCCCCTAATTGAATCATCAGTTTTTCGATCATCATGGGGGGGGGGCTGCCGCCCCCCCCAACCCCCCGCTACTGATCCAGAAAGTGATGATTCAATTAGGGGCAAAAAATTGAAAAGTGCGGGGGAAGTTGGGCGGGGGGCTGCCGCATGACGATCGAATCATTCAATTAGGGGCAAAAAATCTAAGGGGAAGTTTTAGATTTTTGGCCTTCTCGCTGGTTACTTAGATTTCTTGCCCCTAGTTGAATCATCAGTTTTTCAATCATCATGGGTTCCCCAACCCTCCCCGCCCCGCTACTTTTGAATTGTTTACCCCTAAGTGAATCACTTGTCGACCAGGGGCTGCCCCCCCCCCCCCCCCCGCTACTTCTCAGATTTTTTGCCCTAGTTGAGTCATTATTTTCTTGATCATCGAGCTGCCACCCCCCCCCCAAACCCCCCCTCTACTTTTACATTTTGTGGTCCCCCCACTTCCCCGCCACTTCAAGATGTTTTGCCCCTAATTGAATCATCACTTTCTGGATCATCATGGGGGAGCCCCCCAACCCCCCCGCTATTTTTAGATGTTTGGCCACAATTTGAATGCTCACTTTTCGATCATCGCGGGGGGGCTGCCGCCCCCCGCAACCCCCCCGCTACTTTTTAGATTTTGCCCCCTCGCTGGTTTTTAGATGTCTTGCCCCTAATTGAATCATCAGTTTTTCGATCATCATGGGGGGGGGCTGCCGCCCCCCCCAACCCCCCCGCTACTGATCCAGAAAGTGATGATTCAATAGGGGCAAAAAATCGAAAAAGTGCGGGGGAAGTTGGACGGGGGGCTGCCGCATGACGATCGAATCATTCAATTAGGGGCAAAAAATCTAAGGGGCAGTTTTCCTTTTTGGCCTCCTATTTGGTTATTTAGATTTCTTGCCCCTAGTTGAATCATGAGTTTTTCGATCATCATGGGGGGGGCTGCCGCCCCCCCCAAACCCCCCCGCTACTTTTTAAATTGTTTACCCCAAAAATCACTTGTCTCTACTTTTAGATTTGTGGTCATGCAGGTGCCCCCCTCCCCCCCAACTTCCCGCCACTCAAGATGTTTTGCCCCTAATTGAATCATCACTTTCTGATCATCATGGGGGGGCTGCTGCCCCCCAAACCCCCCCGTTATTTTTAGATGTTTGGCCACAATTTGAATGCTCACTTTTTCGATCATCGTGGGGGGGCTGCCGCCCCCCCCAACCCCCCCGCTACTTTTTAGATTTTTTGCCCCCTCGCTGGTTTTTAGATTTCTTGCCCCCTAATTGAATCATCAGTTTTTCGATCATCATGGGGGGGGGGCTACCGCCCCCCCCAACCCCCCCCGCTACTGATTCAGAAAGTGATGATTCAATTAGGGGCAAAAAATCGAAAAGTGCGGGGGAAGTTGGGCGGGGGGCTGCCGCATGACGATCGAATGATTGAATTAGGGGCAAAAAATCTAAGGGGCAGTTTTAGATTTTTGGCCTCCTCGCTGGTTATTTAGATTTCTTGCCCCTAGTTGAATCATCAGTTTTTCGATCATCATGTTAAATTGTTTACCCCTAATTGAATCATCACTTGTTCGATCACCATGGGGCCCCCCAACCCCCCCGCTACTTCTCGGATTTTTTGCCCCAGTTGAAACGTTATTTTCTTGATCATCATGGTGGGGGGCTGCCACCCCTCCCCCCCAACCCCCCCGCTACTCGCCCAGACCATCGCAAAAGAGTAACCCCGCAGCTACAGCACGTGTGATGAGACCGTGTCCGTGCGCGTGCACTGCGTGTTCCTTTTGATACACACGTTTCTCAGTAAATGCAGCCCTGAGTGCATTAAGTTTTTTCTTGATGGCTAAAAAAGTTTTGTTGATTGCTAAAAAAAGTTTCTTTTTGATTGTTAAACAAGTTTTTTTTTGATATCCTTCCCTCCACCAAAATGGCGGTTTACCCGCAAAACAACAGGACAGACCAAATTGGGACCTCCAACAGTTGTCCACAGGGGCCATTCGGATACATAAACCTGACCCAGAGAGTGTTCAGACCAAGTATGAACTTCCCGCAAACGGATCCCCACCAACTAATTCACAAGCGGGGATCGTTCCGGTTACGCTGGCTTGATAATCTGGGCAGTTCAAAATGGAGGGTTGGCCAATCCTAATCCATAATCCCTAAAGGGAAGCCACCACAAAAGGGACCCCGTTGCGTAACCGAAGGTAAGGATTAAGGATTACCTTTGAACAGCCCAGATAGTCGGACTCGTCCCAAACAAAGCGGTGAGAAACTCGCACCTCCCAAAGGCTGCCCAGGCCCAGTTGACTTCTTTGGGGCCAGCGCCGTTTATGGTCGAAAGCGGACTGAAGAGCCATAAAGTAATTCTGCTTTTTGGGGTCTTGACGTCGGAGAGGAGGCGTCAACCAAATAAAGGACCCGGTCGGTAACTCATGCACTTCCTGGAGCCCGAAACATCCGTTTTTAAACAGTCGTAAGAACATCCATCATCAGTTCCGGTCGTTTGCTGCAGTTCCGGCCGTTTGGCCTGATCACCATTTTCTGTATTTTGTGTTGGGCATATCCTTTTCAGCCTCGATTGACTTGCATCTCTGCAAGACTGGCACCAACCCTGCCCGGCCAACCCGCAGGGTCTCAAGCGTGCCGCAGCAGACTGAAATGCACTGATCCCTTTGTTTTCTCTTCTAGGCTTTCTTGCAAAAGGGAAAAAGGCATGGAGAAGGGGGCTGCGCGAACTGCACACTTTCAAGACCCTTCGGTTCATAGGTGTACCGCCAGCATCAGCAGCATGTGGGGTCGACGAACATTGTTTATCACCCCAAAGCCCTGGCGAGAACACTATAGTTGAGCGGCTTTGGCAGTGGGTCAAATCACTCTTCCCTCACGCACCCAATGGGTGTCTTTCAGGTGGTTTCCCAATCAAGCCTTTCCAATCTTTACAAAGGAGGCTTCTGCTGGTAAAAAGGAGTGGTCGCCCCAATGGCCCCATCCAAAAGCAACCGAAAACCCATCAATTTAGAAACAGTTGTTTGCACGGACGGTTCTGGTTGTTGCACGCACGGTTCTGGTTGTTGCACGCCTGGTTCTGGATGTTTCCTGGTTTTGTCCATCGCCAGTTTCGGCCCGAAAGCGGGTTTTCGGGCCGAAAACGAGCCGAAAACGGAAGACAACGGGCCGAAAACGGGCCGAAAAACCGCCCCCCGAAAATCCAATGTTCCCCCCGCAAAAATAAAAAAACGAGGAGTCCGGCCGCCCAAAAGCAGGCTTTTTTGTGGGTGCCCTTTCTTGAGGAAGGTTCTAAACCAAGGCTAACACCATGAGTGGGCAGAAATTTGCGTCTGCGTCGTTTCTTGTTTTGCTGCTTGGTTCCATGGAGAAAGGGACAGGTCTGTAAAGCAAGCCAGGCGCACTGGGCAAAGGCTGTGAAGAACACACGCATGCAGCTACACTCACCATGCTCTGATCTGAAGTGTCATAACTGTACTTAGCAGTGGCTTCTCGATTCTAGATTGTGCACATGAATGCTCACGGCCATTTCTGGTTCAGCCAACTGGAAAAATGGAAAGTAGACAGGCCTGGCAAAGTCAAGGCCGCGTAGGCTAGGGATTTCGAACCGGTTCCGGTCGTTTGCCTCAGAAGTGGTTTTTCGGCCCGCACCTGCTTTGAAACAGTCGTTCAAGGCCCCAGGTTGTTGTGGTATCTTCCATTATATTGCCCTCTCACCTGGGCAGATATGTAAAACAGGTCCCCGTGTTCATAAACATGATTCATACATAATATTCGCGTATTGTCTGTGTACTATCAATGCCTCAAACAGATCCTCAAGGGGGGGGAACTTGTAATCAAGGGGGGGGGGAGGGGGCCGCTCCACCAACCTCCTTGAGAAGAAGTCAAGGGCGGGTGGGGGGGGGGGGCTTTTGCAAAGGGTCAGCAGCCGACCTTTGTCAAGAGGGGGGAGGGGGTGTGATTCTTCAAGCAACGCAGGCATCTAATAGCTGTCTTCAGAGATACGCATTTTAGTGTGTCTATTTTTGGCTCACCTCCCATAATGATGGTGGCCCTTTTGGCTTCCCCTTAAAACCCAAACGTGGTTTCCCGAAAAAGCCAACCACCTCTGCGGAAAATAACGGAACAAGATCTAAGAGACCGAGCATGGGGAAACCCTGCGCGCCTGAGAGGAAGCCAATGTTGGCCCCTGCACCAACCATACCTCAGAACAAGGCTCGGTGACTCGCCTGGAACAAATACCACAGACTTGCAGTGATAGATTGTTGTTTAAAAAAACACCGACAGGGGAAAGTCCTGAAAAAACAGAAAGAAACAAAAACGTCAGGGAACATATAAATGATTTGTTCTTTTCAACTGGACTTGCTGGGCTTCTTGACCCGAGGCGCCCCCGCAGCCTTTGTAGAAGTGGAAGCACAGCACGATAAAGGTGACAGTCGTCGAAGTCAACAGTCCTTCCATGGGCTTTTGGATTCCCCCCCCCCCCCGCAAAGCACAGCCGTGGCAACGAGCCGGCTTGATTTTGGTACGAGCCCATTTTCTCTTTGGGGCCCCTTGGTGTGGGTATGCCACTATACAATTTAGTGCCACCATATGGACAGGTGATACACCTTATGTTTCACGTGCTCTCTGGGGGAAGCTTCGTTGAATTGAAAAAAATGACACTTGTGCGCCAGCCTTCAATGGTTCACTGTCGCGCCAAGCCTATGAGTGAGGACTTGGAGGCCATCTGGGAAAAAAAACAGTTGCGGCCAGGCCTTGCGGACGAGCGAGCCCCTTCTTTGCAGAGGTCACGTGGTTACCCTTTACTAACCCAGGATTAATAAACCCATCCCATTATTAGGGGGTGTTCCCTCCAAAAGTAGTCTGAATCCAACCACTAAAAGGAATTGGACACCCCCAATCAAAATCAACCGATCGGGGTTCTGCTTAATCCGGGGTTAACATTATGGCAACCGTCCCCTGCACGCTTGAAGGATCCGCAGACCTGGTGCACGGGTCTCTCTGAAATCCGTCCGTGGATGGGGACAAGAACCGTTTGCCAGAGATTCACATCTCCGCATTCCGATTCTTCCTTGCGACCAGGGCAAGTTCTCGGGGTACCCTAGTGCCATTTGAGGCCTGGCAAAATCACAAGTTGCAAAAGCTCACGTGCCCAAATGAGAAGTAAAAGCTTTTAGCCTTTCGGCCAAGCACGAAGAAGCCAGCAAGTAAAAACACAAATGATTCGCTGGGACCAAGCAAGATAATTACACATTTGCTCACTTTCCCACTTGGTGGTTTGGTCTGGTGCTTTGGACGTGTAGGGGTACCTTCCCCATTTGGTTTCAAGAGGAGCCGGGGCTCAATCCCCAAGCCACGAATCCAAACCACCAACTCACTTGGCCGCCTTGGCCCGAATTCCTTGCTGGGCAGTCCTGTTCCGAGCCACTGCGCCTTGGGATTCGAGTGACGGTGGGGTGTGCATGGTTTTGTTCAGGAAGCCCCCCCTCGGGTTGGCAAAAGGAAAGCAAAGTGGCCTATATAACATGGAGACAACCATGGCCCTAACTCATAATAGTGGGCTCCGCATTTCCTAGTGCCATTTTAGTGAGTGCCACCAACGTTGAGTGTCACGAACGTTGAGTGTGTTGCTTGTTTGGAAAAGCGACCCCCTTGCTGGCCAAGGGCATGCAGCGAAGCACACGACCCCTCCACATGGGTGTGTCTAAGAGTAGGGCATCCCTAAAATAATGTTTGGTTTCATTCATTTGTTTTAGATCCCCGAAGGGTACCGTCAGAAAACACAAAACGCACCCTTGCACACACACACACACACACACACACACGCTTGATGGTTTCATGCCGGCCGCCCTCTAAGGCGGACCTGAAAGGTGTGCCCAGTCGAAGCAAATACCCAAGGCCCTATGCCCCCATCCCTCAATGCAAAAGGGCCCACGCCCTATGCCCCCATCCCTCAATGCAAAAGGGCCCACGGGCTAGTGATGATACTTCTGAAGATTGATCCCGCATGTATTCACTGTTCTTTCTGAGCAGCACACAATTTCACCAGTTGTTTGATCATTGTCCAAAAAGTTCCTGAAGAGCATGGATGTGAACTCACAGTTAGCATGCATTTCCGATGTGCGAACGAGCCGTGTCTGCCGGTATCCCCTACTGTTCTACCAAGGGAAACGATGTGGCAACAGGCCACTACCGCAAACGCGCCTCCTGGCTCCCAGATTCTTGCTGGTCTTATGCAAGTCCCCACTAACAAACACTTTCACAAACCGCAAGGATGGAAGGGGATCTGACCATTCTGGATGTTCGTCGTTTCCAGAATATGCCGGGTTTTGTGGATCCAACACAACAGGGAATTGAAACAATACTAAAAGCTACCCCCCCCCCCAAAAAAAAAAAACGCATTCCAACTGCTGGACAGTTCTCTGCCCAAACCGCCCCAGCATAGGCAATCTGCATGTTTGTTCTCGAGTCTGATCCAAAAACCGTGTTTTTTTTGCTCCACGGCGCAAGCGGAGTCACAAAGAAATGGCCGTGCAGCATGCCCAAGAGGTTCACCTGCACATGCCATGCCTATCGGGTGTGTCCTGATTCAAGGTACCCTCTTTGGGTTGGTTTGAAAGGGGGATCAAAAGGACCACCATGGGGGGGCTCCCTAAAAAGAAGACACACCCTTGTCAGCATTTGGAAGGGGCCAGCCGATTTGAGAGAGTGCGGCCTTAGCCAAACCCAAGCAACCCAGGAGGGTTCCAATCCAAAACGCACCCAAAAAACGTCCAGTTAAGGCCAAGCCAGTGGCTGGGTTTGCAGGGCTTGCCTTCTCTGACATGAAGAACAAAGCCCCAGTAAACTACAAAGGGTTCTCAGCTGCCTTTTGATTTCTCTGGGGTTACTGAGTACAGGTTTAGAGCTTTTATGAAGTAGACATGCTGTTTTTTTTCTTTGAAAACGACTTCCACCGGAAACTTATTTTTGGCTTTTGCGATAGCGCACCGTGTCTCTTGAACGCAGCGGCGCAGCGATTTTTGGGGGAGGGGGAAAGAAGGAGAAGGCCCCCCCAAAAGAAACAAGTCAGTTGTACAAGAGATGCTTCTTTATCCAGTAGAAAGAGCATATGTCGGTTTGACCATGCCATCTGCTCGAGCTCACGTCCCTTGGTGACCTTTTGGACGAACGGATGGCCCCGGCAAATTCGAAATGAAACCACGCTAAACCAGCGCCATCCATTTCTAACCAAGCTAACCTAAGGAAACCTATCTGAATGTTTACTGAAATTGTTAAACCTGAATTCAGGGATCCCCAAATAGAGAACCTTTATCATGGTGAGATTGTTATACCCCCAGTTTCGGTGAGCTCGCTATAGGCAGAGCCGGGCATGTCTCACATCCTCGGCCTTCACCATGAAGTAGATCAACAGCGCCACACCCATGCCGTTCAGCGCCGCTAGAGCGCTCCTGAGGAGCTGCGCTCACCCGTCAAGAAAAGCCACGACAACAAAGTTAGATTCTTGCAGCATATTATAGAAGCAGTGGTTAATAGTAAAATGCCAGAGATGTAAATAATCTGTACGAACAATGCCAACAATAAAGTTGTAGGTTGAAACACGTACAAATGTTCAACATTATGAAGTTCCTGCAACTTGCAGAGAAAATGACTATAAGTAATGCGTAAACATGATATGGAGCAAATATATACAAAAGGCACAAGATAAAAGTATATATATATATAAAGTAAACAACACCAAACAAGAGATTACATGCCGAGGGTTAATCTGTGCCATTATGGACCTGGACTGGTAGAAGCATCCTCTAAACCACGGGGCTAAGCCCCAGCCCCAAGCCACATTATCCCCCGGGTACCGAGGCAGCGGCCGCTCCCAGCCCACCCGGAATCCGAGCGGCGCAAGGAACCCGAAGCCCAAGCTGATCCCTCTGAGTTCATAGAGCCGATCGCATCAGACTCAGCGAAGATAAGCCAAGCGTCTGAACGATATTGTCGGTGCTCACTAAGTTCAGCAGAGCGGACATCCCGCCCACCACCCCGCAGACGATGGCCTTAGACCAGGTGAGCGGAGCGACAAACAAAAGAAAGACACAGCTAAACCAAACCCAAACCAAAACCAAAACAAACAAGGAAAAAGACAAACAAGCAAACAAAGAAAGAGATAAAGAAACAAAGAAACATATCAAGAAAGACAGAAAGATAGAAAGAAAGAAATACAGAAAGAGAAACATAAAGAAAGAAACAAAGAAATAAAGAAGAACTAAACCAACAAACAAGCAAACAAACAACCCGTACATCACAACACACAACGACAACAAAACAAACAAGCAAGCAACACACGCACGCACAAGTGGGTTCAAAAGTATCAAGTGTTGGCCGTAGCAACCACCAAACAAAGATCCAACAAACGCTTGGTAGCTAAAAGTTTGTCAGTCTGCGAACGGGAGTCCGGGCAATGAAACTTGGACAATTCAGAGGGCCTCATGACATGTTTAGCCCAGGGGCAAACAATGCATGCCCTGGGCGGCGTGCACCACATATACAGGTTCTTTTCTAAAAACACACTAGGTCCTCCAGTAGAGAGGTTAGAATAAGGGCCCTTTTTTTTTCTGTAGTCTACTTTAGTAGGGGAACCGAATCTCCCAACCAAAAAAGGCACTACTGGGGACCTGGCACATAGACTGGCACTGTCACCTGCAAGAGAATGTTTGGCTGGCCCGCGGGCCCGAAGACAAGGCTGTTTGCTTGCCTTGATTTCAACGACTCGCCGCCAACGCTAGGCTCGGGCCCCCAGGAAAAACTGCTGAACGAAGACAAGGAATGAAAAGCTTGGCTTTGAACCAGCCCGTGGTATTTGCCTTGCCTCCAAGTAATCATGGCAGCTGACAAAGGGCGGCCAGGGGTTGCAAAAACTCATTTGTTGTAACCTCTGTCCACTTCCATGGCTGTTGGACAGAGGATGCCTTTTTTTTATGGAAGCCTCCTGTTCGCTCATGCGCTTTGTTGTAGAATGGATGACCCTGCGCATGTGTTCCCAAAACCAGGCAGTTGTCGCAGCAACCAGTAAAACAGCCACTCAGCGTCCAAGATGCCAGCTGCACGACGTCTCGCCCCTCAGCGTTGCGACAAGAAGCCCGGGCCCCAAACTTGACTGTGTCCCCTTGCCAAGATCCAAGCAGTGACCCTCGCTAAAAGGGAAGCAAACTGTTGATCCTAGTTGGAGTAAACATTTGGACTCTGGGGTAAACATTTGGGGAAGCAAAGTGATCCTAGTTTTGGGGTTGACCATTTGAAGTGAACAGCAAAGGGATAATAAAGGCACTCGACTGAGTTCATGCTCCTCTTGTCTGTGTGGAGATTTGCACCTCCGCCCAAAAGTTGCTTGTTTTGCTGATTGGTGGGGAAGTGCCCTTCTTCCAGCTTAAGGTGCGGGATTCAAGCAAATAGCAGCCAGATTATGGACCAACTGTCCTTTTCTTTTCGGGAGCTCGTTTACCAGCATATGTTGCACATGTCTCCTATCATCATACGCCC